CGGTTATCTAAAGACAGAGAACTATGCATAGCCTACCACAAGTTTATGTCAGAGTACCTAGACATGAACCACATGGAACTAGTAACTAATGATGATTCAAATAGTCAAACATATTATTTGCCTCACCATGCTGTCATCAAAGAAGACAGCATCACCACAAAATTAAGAGTTGTGTTCGATGGATCAGCTCCATCAAGTTCCGGGCTATCCCTTAATGATGTCATGTTAAAGGGACCTATAGTGCAATCTTCCTTGTTCTCAATACTGTTACGATTCAGAGTACATAAGATAGCATTAACCGCAGACGTTGAGAAGATGTACCGTCAAATACTAGTAACTCCAAAAGACTGTCAACTACAACGAATTTGGTATCGTCCAAGTCCCTCTGAACTGTTAAGGGAATATAACCTTCGGACAATCACGTACGGTACAAAATCAGCTCCCTATTTAGCGACCCGTAGCCTGGTGGAAGTAGCTTTTTCAGCTCCAAATGAAGCTGCTCAAAGAGCTATAAGAGATGATTTCTATGTAGACGACCTACTTACTGGTGCTGAATCTTCAGACGAATGTTTCCAGCTATACAAAGATGTTTCAGACACGTTGGCGTCTCGTTGTCTACCGTTAAGAAAATGGTGTACAAGTTCTTCCGAAGTCCTGAGTAAATTACCAAATTCTGGGACCGATCCTAATCATGTTTTACAATTTAGTGAACAGGATGCTGTCAGTACGTTAGGTATAATGTGGCAACCCATAACAGATTGTTTTTGCTTTACATTAAAGCCATGGAATCCACCCAAAAAAATGACTAAGCGCACATTGCTTTCTGACATTAATAGGATTTACGATCCACTTGGTTTCCTAACACCAGTTCTTATAACTGGAACGATCTTTGTTCAACAGTTATGGGTGTTGAAGATTGATTGGGACACGACATTACCCGACGATATGCAACATCAGTGGAAAAACTTCTATTTATCTTTGAATGCGTTGGATAAATTAGCCATTCCACGTCGGCCATTGTCAAGTAATTGGTTAAACATACAGCTTCATGGATTTTGTGACGCCTCACAGGAGGCGTACGGAGCATGTGTTTACGCAAGAACACAGAATTCAAATGGAGATGTTGAAACAGCTCTATACGTTTCAAAATCAAGGGTAGCACCACTTCATGCGACCACTATACCCCGGTTAGAACTCTGTGGTGCTGTACTACTCAGTGATTTAACTACAGAAGTCATTTCTGAATTAAAAAAATTGAATATAAACCTACATCAACGCGACGTTGTACTGTGGTCAGATTCAACGGTTGTCATCGCCTGGATAAATAGTACACAGCCACTTAAGTCATATGTATCAAATAGAATTGCTCAAATTTTAGACCACACTGATAAAACACAATGGAATCATGTGCCCACAGATTGTAATCCAGCTGATCTTATAACACGTGGACAAACAGTTAACAATTTACAACAGTGTTCAATGTGGTGGAGTGGTCCACACTGGCTCTCAAAGCACCACACTTCATGGCCTACACGTACTCAGCCAATCTTAAATGAGGTTCCTGAAGTACGACCTGTTAAATTGGTGCTTCAGGCATCTGCTCAGCCAGTAGATGATTATCCGCTCAGCAAGTTTTCTAAATGGAACCATATGGTACGCGTTACAGCGTACATGTTGCGTTTCTTATCCAACAGTCAAGGATGAAGAGGAAGAAGAACATAAACTACAACTACAATCATAGTATCATCTCAAGTCATTTAATATTATCATTTGTATTTATTGTTTAAGACAGTTTGTCTAGCCGCCTAAGGCTCAAGTCATTTATTATTATCATTTGTATTCATTGTTTAAGACAGTTTGTCTAGCCGCCTAAGGCTCAAGTCATTTATTATTATCATTTGTATTTATTGTTTAAGACAGTTTGTCTAGCCGCCTACGGCTCAAGTCATTTATTGTTATCATTTGTATTTATTGTCAAAGACAGTGTGTCTAGCCGCCTAAGGCTCAAATCATTTAGTATTATCATTATGTAATTGTTATTTATGTTTATAGTCAAAGACAGTGTGTCTAGCCATCTAAGGTTCGAATCAAATAGTATTATCATCATGTTAGTCGCTTGCTCTGTATTCCACTCATAGATCAAGTATGTTTATTGTCGTTAAGGTTATTGATGTGCTACTGTGATCTTATCTGTTTATGCATATGTAATGTTCAAATATCATGTTTTAGGGAAATCAGCATCATCATTAATCATGTCTAATGAGCCTTGAAAGGACCACATCCTTTCAAAGGGGGGAATATGTTTGCGCTGCAAACAAATTTATGTTGTGTGTTTCTGTTATCATTTTCATGTGCACGTATCAGTGCGTTCCACAGTTGCAGCCTTCGTCGGCTGATGCTTATCAGGCATTCGTGTGCGACCGGCCAGCTGTGGAACAATTATCAATGTTTTCATTATATTTGGTTATGTTAAAAACTTTAAGTTGTGTTTCGAGTAGTCATGCTTTCAGTGTCATAAAGTTCACAATTGTTTTGTTATCGGTTATTGTTTTAGTGTGGTGACACTGAAAGTCCGTTCGTTTTTGTGTTGCTCTATTGTGCCTCCAGGACATCGTGCGGGGCCTTTGATTTCACTTTTGGTGCTCCGTGCCGAACGGTTCAATTGTTTTCATGGTTGTCTCGTCATGTTTGTGATGAGATGTTTGCAGTCGTCCAAAACCACGTTGTTGTGAATTTGTGTTTAAGTTTCTGGTAATTATCGTTCTTAGCAATTTGTATTGCCACCACTAATGTGTTTCTGTACAGGATGGTCAAAATTACCAAAGATTTGTGTTGTGAATCAACGTGTTTTGGTGTACCTCATTGCTCGTGGGAACAGTAGTGCGAACACTAGAAATCCTGTTCCGGCTGCATTCAATGTATTATTGTTAATGAAGTCATCGTCAACAGTTGCTGGCACACATCCGAACGTACGCAGGGTCAATTTGTCTTTATTGTAATTTAGTGATATACTTACAGGCCCTGGTGCGGTAACGTGGGTGTAAAACCAGGTGTGTGTCTCAACTGTTATGTGAGTATTGGTCGACCAGATATGTGTGTGTATGACCGACGGGTCTTAAAGTAGTAAACATCTCATTATTATGTACTGTTAGTCATTAATGCATATTATTTATTAATTGTATTCCATTGTATATTACAGCCGTTCAGGCCTGATTCAATCATATGTTATTATTTTTATTATTATCATTATTATAGCCAAAGAGGCAAATGAAATTATACTTTATACTGTTACTATTATTATTATTATTATCATTACTGTGCCAAACGGCAATTAAAAATTTATTATAAAATACAGTCCACATTTTTATTTACAACGACAAGGCTGTTCAATATCATTTTGTTCACCTTAAGCGTTATCAATATATATATATTCAAAATTCTACGCGCGTGCATCAATTTTCTAGATCAGCCTATCGCTGTCTACCTATTTATTTATTCTCAATAATTACTTTAATTCATTAGATCAGTTCCTGCTGTCTATTACCAAAATATATTTAGGTCAGTCCCTGCTGCCTATCACAAAATACGTATATAGTTATATAGTTCTTAACAAGCTTGTTTCTTCTTTTTTTTTTTTTATTTATTTTTATAGGAAATTAAGGCATAGCAAATTTGAAATTATAATATAATTAATATTTGGTGAATAATCGTAGGTATGTACAATTATTTGTAGTTGAACTACAAACAATTTGTGAAAAAACAGGCAAAACTGTAATTTCCTCACCTTTTTATGGCTCTTTCTTAAATATTTAGATGAGTAGGGACTGAGAATTTTTTGTTTAAACAAATTGATGTACAATCATCAAAAGAATTATCGTTTTGTTCACAATCTAAAAGTTTTCTGTGTGTTGTAACCTGTATATTATATATTTTTTATATTAACTAAAAATATTTCATTGTTTTCATTGTTATACACTTAATATAAAAACATTATATTATTTGTGTTGATTGGATAAATACATTAAGTAGACAAGTGTTCAACAACTATTTTATTAAAATCCAATAAAAAAAAAAAAATAGGCACATTACTAATTTAATTTAAGCATTAAATTGTTATATTATAAATAGCTATGATGAAAAATATTAACTAGTGCAGGAGCATTAAAAATAGTTTAAAAATAATTGTTAAAACTTAAAACTATATAATATATAAGCAGCAGAGAATTAAAAAAAATGTGCGTACATCAATAATTAAATAAAACACAATAATGAAAATTTAAAAAAATCAATAAAAAATTGGAAAGCACATAATTTTAACAATAATTTGTTATTGTCTATAGTTATTTACCGTATAATAAATTATGATTGATTCTTATAAAGTATATCCTTGTTGTATTGAGGTAATTTTTAGTTATTAACTATCAATAACACTAAGAGTGTAAAAAAATATCCCTGAAATTCCTTATATAGGTACATAAAAAACATTTATAATAAAAATAACAAATATACTTATCTATTTTTAATGAGGATCTTTGGTCATTATAATTAGCAACATATCTATAATATTATATATTAATATAAATTATAAAAGATAAATAATCATTTAAACATCAACATAAGCATGTTTGTGGCTTTGTGCGTGAAGAATTAAAGTAGACGTGTTGAGTTAAAGATTACCAAGCAAAATGCTTCATAATTAGTATTAAAAACCATGAACACAAGATAATGACTTAGATCAGCGATGCCCAACCCAAATCTAATTTTTATGTTGGAACAAAATATATGAAAAAATTCCATTAGTTCCAAGGTATTTAAATTTTCTTCTTTTATTATAAATATATAAATTTTCTATAATAGCAGGTGGCCCCCAGAATAAAAAAGGTTGGGTCTCACTGACAGATCGATAAAATAAATGTATTAATATACAGAAAGTGCGGCTGAACAAAACAAAATTTTTAACAATAAATAATAAGTCCTTAAGACCTTTATAAGTATTGGTCTTATAAGCTTTGTGGTGAATTGACGCCGTGCAACATACCATCCATGTGTTCAACTTCTGAAAGGTAAATAGAAGACAGATAATTATATTTTCAGTTAGATTAATGGTTTTGGTTGTAGTTTTGAAGAGAACACACAAACACAGTCGAATAAGAAAACAAAACCAACATAACAGTGTTCAAATGTTATATTGTTTAAAAATAAAAATAATCATAAATATTATAATAATATTATAAAAATAAATAATGTAACATACAGTCTAGTATGAAATAACAAAAAATTAGAACTATATTAATAAATAATAGATAATATAAATTTATTAGTGTATTTGATGTGTGCTGTGTATTCCTTCGTTGTTACAAAACTTTTTCTTTTATGCCTGCTGCTTTTTTCGCCTCATTCTTAATGATCATTTGAGTAGTAAGGTACGATTCTCGTTTAATCCTGTCGCTGAGGGCATTTGGAACATCTGGTATCAACCATTGCACGGCTACTTTCACTAATGATACAATATTCTGAAAAACTAATAGATTAGCACACAAACAAAATTATATTAATAATTTTTTATTACTTGAAATATAACAATGAATGTGAGGCGTGCAACGAGCACTTCATAATAAAATGTGGGTCTTTCATACTTTTGTGGCGACCATGGTGGATTTCTGTAGTCTTTATAGCTACAAAAACAATATAGATGTTATGTTACATACTGTACAAGTTATTAGAAAAAAAAAAAAGGAATAAAAATAATGAATATATTTACCGGCAATAAGTAACATTAGTATATGAGGATGACAACGGAGCGATACCACTTTCAAAGTCTTTGGTATCAAAGTAAGCTAAAGTATTGTTCAAGAAACCCTTGTCTGTGTTGTCTTCACTAACCAAACTTATGTACACCATACGAGGTATGTAATTGGAAGAAAACGCTATTATGAAAGCCTATAAATCATAATTTACATTTAATAAACAAAATTAATTTGATATAATATAATACGAACATTTGTGATAACTGCTAACTTTCCCAAAATATCTAATACTCGATACCAAACACCAATATTAGGCACTCTATGAGGAATTGGTCGACGGAAATACTTCATAAACTTTTTTGCATCTAATCTCATTTCAAATACATTGTTTAACAATGCAAAGAATGGACCCAGTGGAAATGCAGTAACAAATAATGTTACAAAACCATATTGCATAACTAAAAATGTAAGAATTCAATTAATTTTAAAATATAGCTTATAAATTAAATGCCTTTTAAAATATTACCCATTTCCAAATATTCTGGGAAGAGTCCTCTTGGTCCCCAATCCAAAAGTTTGTAATCTTCAATCCAAGGTTTCTTAACAGCTGTAGCCAAATCTTCTTCTTCGGATGATGATTTTAAATTATCTAAGCGGCCTGTGTTCTCAGTCAATGAATTGAACCAATTTAAACCCACACTATAATATAAACAGTTTTAGTTTTGGGCTTTTATTAAAAACCAATACAATTTTACATACGGAATTATCATTTCAACAACAGTATTTAATGCTTGTTGCCCGACCATTATAATGAACAATTGGATGCTTAATTCCATGAGACATCCACCTGGACTACACTAAAATCAAAATGCTCATTGAATACTATTGATCAAATATAATTAAATGATTATGTGCTTATCTTACTTCTTCTTGACGAAGATTGAATATACGCAAATATTTAGCAGGATAACCAACATTTTTGCCTTTCAAAAAAGCTATATAAATTATTGATGTATAATAATTTACAAATTGGAAGAGGTAAATTTTTATTGTCAACGATTCGTCAAATTCGGTTTGTGTGCGGAGTAGTTCCATTTCAGTCAGATAAATAGCAACTTTATCATAAACCTAAACAATATTATATTATATTAAAAATAGACTGTTTTAATCAGTAGAATATAAAAATAATTAAAATTAGGCCACTTTTTTTTAAATGTAATCAATAGTTAAACCAAAACAAATATTTATTAAACGCTGTATCTAAATTTTTCATACATTTCATATACTAATATTATTATTTGTAAATATAGTTTGATTTTGGCTTTAATTTAAAGTAGTCCCACTTAACACGTTGACTGCGAAGAGCTACCGGCTGGCACAATATGATGTTTATTACACCAAAAAAAAACAAGTAATGAGTCTCACTATGCCACTGCACTTTTTTAGTGCAGTATTGTAGCTCCAAAGACAAGTTAATAATATGAAACCATATTTATTTATGATCGCCATGATCGTCATGATGTGGTGAGGTAGTAATGATCAATTATGGGCACCGGAGGGTCACAAGCATATAAAGTTTGAGAATTCCAAATAACTGCAGGCGTTTAACACGCCAACGTATTAAAAGAGCTTATTACATTTTTCTATTAAATGAAAAAGTATTAATCTTTTTATTTCAATAAACATAATGACAGTAGCAACAAAAAAAAATGAGAACTTGAAATGCTTTATAGTAAATTAGGTAATTGAGTAAGTTGTTGTAATGGATGTGTTAAATTTAAATTTAAATTCAATTATAAATCATTGTACACTGCAAAAAAAATATTCTAAGGTGAGACAACTTATATTTCAAAGGATATTTTATTATATATTTTATTATTATTAGAAATTGATTTTTCTATTATATATATGTTAGGTTAAACTAATTTTTAAAACTGGAAGAATATCATGGCATTTGTATAGTATGATGATGGAAAAATAATTAAAAATTCATTGTTATAAAACTAATACATTTATTGGTCTGCTCAGAATCTAAAATGAGTATTGAAATATCTTTTCATTTTTATTTTATGAATAGTACTACTTCCGTTGCCTCTAGCTAGTTGTTATATAAATTAAAAATATAAATACTTACAAAATTTAATAATTGAATGCAAACCAAATTGATGATAGCAGCTGTAGTTGGAATAAATATATTACTATATGTACTCATCCAATCTGATTGATTTGTAAGACTAAGTGATGCTAAAACAGACATGCGATACAGAACAACTCCAAACACGGCAGCAATGGCAACCATAATCTTAAAAACAAAGAGGATTTAAAAGTTGATTAAATTAATACTATCATACATAATTCTTAATGAAGCTTACTAATAGTAAAAGAACGGAAATGCTAAATAATGTTGCAGGAATTTTCTTCCAGAGAGGCACGGTTGGTTCGATATTCCCTGTGACTATGTTCACTTTGGTATGATTAGATCCAGCTAAACGTGCCAAGTATTGTGGCCTTGGATGTTCAGCTTCAAAAGTGAATCCTGTCAATCCCCAGCGATGTGTAATGGTAGCTGAATATCGTTTCCACAGTTCAAGAAATAGAGTAGCTTGAAAATGGAGTATATTTTAGTTAGTAACATTTACACTATTTAAAAATATATATTAACTAACCCCAAATAGACATCAGGAAGGCAAATATCACAGTCAGATCATTATCAAATAAATATGTTAACCTCGCGTAAAAACAAGTGTTTGAAAGTTCCCAATAATCACATGTACGGTCACACAATGGGCACATTATTGTGTCTTTGTCATTACAAATATCAGAACTAAACCAAAAATTGAATTTAATATTGAGTAAATCAAGTTCAATATACTACTATGATGAACAATATAAAAATTTACCTAAATCTGTTATTAGGAAAGGTGAAGATACCATAAAAAAATACAATTAAACCCAAAATAGCAGCTGGAATCAACAGATGTGTGTAGAATCCTAACCATGTGAAGTAAAATGCGTATTTCACACCTAGATACTCTTTAATCTGATCAATTGGCTGTTTACGAATCCATTTACTCATCATAGCCCATTCGACATACAGCTGATGGCGTAGTGAATTTTCAGTAGTATGCTCTCCCTAAAAATTAAATTAAATTAATTTATCATTAATAAGAACATAATAAATATTGAAAACCTACATAAAATGTATCACTGGTTTATATTTATCACTTTTACTAATAATATACAAATATTCCATAAAATCGAGTTTACTAATGATTGTCAAGTACAGATCTCGCCCTTCTATTTTCTCTTATACTCTAAATTAATGTTCACTTATTCTTGGCCTATGTTGCATTTAAAGTAAGAACTCCAATTCTTTCGCAATACTATACTTATATTAGAGATCTCCTACATGTTAAAACCCTTCACGCTGGATGCATTACTACTCCAATAAAAATATATACTATATACCTAACCTGTAATATCATAAATTCATAACATTTCTTTCTTTCTGAAAACAGTTTTAATATAAACTTTGTTGGAATTCAACTACACTGTAGTTGAGTATCTACTAACTCTCCCGAGCTCTGCCATACATGAAGCTAGTGACCAAAATGTTCTTAGCTTTCTTTTTCCCAATTACTGCTTTTGAACTTCTTTCAAATATAAGTTTTAGAATTAATTTTAATACTATCCAAAGTCCCTATTCTTTTCCATACTAACTCACCCCACTTCTTATGGACACAACTATCCACTACATCATATGTTTCATGTCATTGATATTACATATTTATTTTAACGTAAGTTATCTTTTTCTTCTTTCCTATTTCATTCTTTACTTGACTTTTAATATAATATCCTAATTCACAGAATACAATTTAATATATTGTATAATGTTGTGCTTATGTAAGTGTATAAATAATTAAATAGTTTCAACTAGGTATTCTAAGACCATTTCGTTTTGATCCTTGGTAAAAATAATATCTAAAATTTAGTCATTAGCTTAGATTACAAAATTTAAAAATGTATTATGTTTATTGAAATATTGCAACAACTTACAACATATATTTTATCCTAATGGGCTGAAAACCCAAAGAAAAATTATATACAAACATTATAGAAACCTTTAAGAAGAAAACAATTTCATTTGAGATTTTTAAATATTAAATTTTGCGTGAATATAAATATAATGACATTTAAATTGATACAAAGGTGTCAAATATTCCAATAAATTATATACAATATCATAGAATATTATTATAATTTATAACGTCAAATCTAAGTAATTTTTTCTATAAGAGTAAAATATGTTTTATTATAAATAATAAATAGATAATATATTATACAACAAAGGTCTTAGTATTTTTAATCATAAATACTTGTTTCAAATAAATGTATTAAAATATAATACTAATAAATTATGAAACACGAGAAAGATCTAGATAAAGTTTAGAAAAATAAAAAGTTTAAAAATCAAGGTATTATTCTTCATAATATACAGTGTGTAAACGCTAATTGAGAAAACTCAATATCTTTGCGTAGAGCCCTGCAATTTGAATTCTGCATTTTTATTGGTTTTTATGATATAAAAATACACATTTTTATAGCCTTTGGAGTTTTTTAACTTAATTAGACTTGCGCGCATGCGCAGTACAACTTTTTTTTCTTAAATGGCAATTACCTATTTTAACCACTAATTATTTTTTGCTTAATTTTTTAATGCATTTTGGTGGTTTTACCAACTTTCTAAGTCCAAAATTGATCAAGTTACAGCCAATCAACAAAAATAATACAAAATACTCAACATTTTTAGATTTTTTACTGTAATTTTGAAAATAATTATTAAGATTTTTTAGGCTTAACATTTTCACCCCTAATTATTTAGGTGGTATTTATGTGATACATAAATAAATATGTTGTTTATTATGTTCCATGTAATGGATTTATTGGAATTTATTAATAGTTTAATGTAGTGATGTGGATTTTACGTAAAAAATTTTTTTGGTTATTTACCGTGTAAATTTACCAAATTTACGGTAAAATTGGTAAATTTTTATTAAAATTCAAATTATAGCGTACCTGTTGAACTTTTTTCACAATATAATGTAAAGAAGGCAAGATAAATATAAAATAAAGCATTAGTATTTAATCCCTTTATTAATAATTATTAATTTATTATAGTAAAATATAAAATAAAAATAATTTTAATCTGTTTCAAAAAAAAAATAATAAAAATAAAAAACAACTTATAGTATAATGAAAACAGCATGTGTAAGTTAAATACCTATCACCTATGTATTAATAACTAATTAGTAATTTGTATTATAATCCTAATATCTTGATAAAAAATACAAAGACATACAAATAAAGTGATCACTCAACTGTTTGAGTGGTAAAAAAAATGTAAATTGTAAATTGTTTTTTGTAATTTTACGGTAAATTTACGAGACTCACATCACTAGTTTAATGTATGCCGACCCTCCTATAAATCTTCGAAAATTAAAAGATAATAACAGCAACATGCTATCAACTGACTGAAGAACAAATTATTAATAAATTCCAATAGATCCATTTATTTATGTATCACCTTAATATTATCTAAATAATTAGGTGTGAAAATGTTAAGCCTAAACAATTCTAGAATAATTATTTTCAGAATTACAGTAAAAAATTAAAAAATGTAGCATATTTTTGTTGATTGGCTTTAACTTGGTCAATTTTGGACTTAGAAAGTTGGTAAAACCACCAAAATGCATTAAAAAATTAGCCAAAAAATAATTAGTGGTTAAAATAGGTAATTGCCATTTAAGAAAAAAAAGTTGTACCGAGCATGCGCAGTCTAATTAAGTTAAAAAAAAATTCAAAGGCTATATAAAGGTGTATTTTTATGTCATAACAACCAACAAGATATCAGAATTCAAATTGCAGGGCTTTACGCAAAGATATTGAGGGTTCCAATGAGCGTTTACACACTGTATACATTTTTAAACAGTGTAGAACTGTTGCATCAAAATATATACAAAATGTAGGTCAAAGAATATTAAATGGTATAATTGTATCTATCAACAAGTATTAATAATAAATACGTTTTTTTTTATCCAAATTAACCTAACGGCTAAATACAAGGGAATAATATATGATGTTTAGTCATTACCACTCAGACAATAATATATACTATTTACCTAGTCTGTAATATCATAAATTCATAACATTTTTTTCTTTCTGAAAACAATTTTCATATAAACTTTGATGGGAATTCAACTACATTGTAGTTGAGTATCTACTAACTCTCCCAACCTCCGCAACACGTAAACAATCATTTTGTGTTTAGAGAAAAGTATGGTTTCAATGATATTGTATGTGGGTGCTATACTATGCAAGTAATATACATTTATATTGACTATAACATAATTTATGTATCCCGCATATGTAGGCAGGCTCATTCAAATTCAACAAAAAAACTTCTTTTATCCTAAATATAAATATAATTTAATTGTATTATAATCGAATACCTAATCATAATTCATAAATAATTAACATACCAAAAAAATGATGAGCCCAATATTTACCTAATCAAGCAAAACTATACTAAAAAGTACCAAAGTTATTAAGATAAAAAGGAATAGGGATTTAGTTGTCCAAACAAATGATTAACTTGAGTTCTCTTATTTCAATTTAAATACATACCTAGTTAGTAATAAACGGTTTTTACACGGCTTGTTGGAGAAAACAAGACAGCAAATCTTAGTGTAGTATTATTTAAATTCATTTATAGCCAAACTATTTTTTTTTTATTTCATGAACTAAAGAAAGAAAAAAAAGTTACAATAATGTTATACTTAATGAAAAATTGCGAATGTGTTTTGTTAATTTACCCAAATAAATTATGATAAAACATTTAAACTTTTAATTGAATTTCTATAATATTATACTTACATCATGCAAAGGATAAGCAGCTCTATAAACACCTCCATCTAAAAGACACTGAATTCCGACACAATTGACATCTGATTGATCCTTTCCCCAGCTAACTCTGTTTAAAATGAAATCTATAACTAATGTTCGAACTTCAGCAGAAAAGAATTCTGGATCATCCTCATTAAATCTAATATAGAAAATAGAAAGTATACATGTTATAAAATATAAATGTGGTTGCAATAATAATATCTAAAGACTAACAAATAACTTTTTTCCCTTGAATACTCTGCTGTCAGAATGTACTTAGCTGGTGCAAATGGTCCAGGATCAATAGTGATAAAAACTCTTATAATGCGACCAACAATTTTTTTTATCTTCTCTATTAGATCAAAACCCTTTTCGGGAATATGTTCAGTCATTGGATACTAAAATATAAAATTCTACAATTCAAATTTAAAATGACTACAGTTCATAATGCAACACAAAGTTTATTTGTACATATTTATTTTACTTAAAATTGCACGATTATACATTTAGCAAAGATTAGTTCTACACAATTCTTCATTGTTTCAAGCATAATCTATTTTTTTTTTTATATAAAATATATATTATTTACAAACTTTAGTTATTTTTCAAAAATACTAAAAGACAAAATTTACCTCTTTCATGGGCATTCGCAGTTTTAATATTTCACAATATCTACGTAACACTGGTATAGGTGCATGCACTTTGACAAATGTCAACCCACCAACAACATCTTCTTCAAGAAGTAATCCTTGTTCTTTAATTCTTTCCTCAAAAGCAGATCTACGGTTCCAACCATCTATGTCCACTGGTGCTTTGGCTTTGGATGATGAAACAAGCACAAAATCCACAGATATATCACCTGGCGTCGAATCAAATGTTATGCTCTCCGGCTAAACATTAAAAATCTATTAGGATATATTCAATAATATTAAATTAAAAGGATTCAGTACATATTTTGTGTAAGGCAGAATCTTGTGTTGTTAGCTTAAAAATTAGAATGAATTGATCTATTATCAAACTTAAATTAAAGAACATTATTTGTATTTGTAGGTTCAAAGTTGGCTTATTTTTTTACAATATTAAAATTTGTCTGCGAAACATAAGCATTTTAAAATTGTAATAATTTGTACAGTCATAACTTCCATAGAATTTTGAATATTGTAAAAAAGCCAACGTACAAGAACATATAATAATTTTAAAGAGTTTGATAAAAAGTTTAGGCTGGTGTAAGTTTGGTCAATTCATTTTAATATTAAAACTAACAACACAAGATTTATTCTGTTGAATGTGAAATTGCTATTGCACGTGGGTCAGTCAAACAAAATAAATAGTGTGAAAAACATACTCTTTAGAATTAAATCAAATAATATTTCTTATACAATATTAATACCCTTATGTGACGAGCAGCTTCCGGAGAATTATTTATCAGATCTTGAGAACTAAGATATAAAGACATGCGAGATAATTCGAGGTCGTCTTTGTACATCCTGGTAGTCTCCATTGAGGCAGTCTCAGCCTCAGAGTCACTCATCTATAACCATAATTAAAATTATATAATAAAAATCAATTAAAAATGTTTATATTTGAAATAATTTTTGAATTAAATATTATTTTAAATTTTGATACCTAATCTCGCCTAATCTATTTGTTCAACAACAATAATTCTGTTTATAAAATAATATATACTTCTATCTTCAAAATATTAAGAATGATTTATGGTATTATATTAATGAATATAATATCTTGTTAGTTAGGTTCAAAAGTAAAAATGCCCAATACTTTTGTAAATAATCAGTAAAAACAACAAAAAACAGTAGAAAAAACAAGATTTTTTGCAAAATAAATTATTTTTTTCTATACTGAATTAATAATGTAATGATATGAGAAATTTAAATTTTTATCAAATATTTATATTAATGTTAGCATTTTCTTAATATGTTGGCTCTTTTTGAGCTATTAGGTATTTTACATTTTTAGGCACCCCTTTCACCACATTCTCAGAACATAATATGCCCCATGATTTCTATTTTAAAATTTACATAACGTTTGTACTGTCAAATTTAAGAATTTAACTAACTCAATTTGTATTAGCCTCTTTGTAGCTGGCATTTGGTGTGTATATTGAGATAAATAAATTATTGCAATAAATTTGTATAACGTAAGAGCATATTAATAAAGTAGTTAAGTTAACGAGATCAGATATCACGAAATATCATTAGATATTATATTTACAACATTAACTTTATAACAAAAAATGAACTATATCCTTTAATGATGCTAATATAAAAAAATCAAGTAATAAGTATTAACCAGGACAACTAGGTTATTTATGGTTAAAATATCAATAGATATAAAATGCCATACCAATAAAATGGTACACTTTAAGAAATGTATAAATTACATAATTATGAAAATTTAAGCGTTACTTAAGTTATGATTTAAAAGTATTAATTTCATACTATTGTATATTTACTTTCTTTATTTAAAATTTAAACGATACTTAAGTTATGATTTAAAGGTATTAATTTCATACTATTATATATTTACTTTGTTTATTTAAAATCTGAAAGTGAGGAAAAAAATTAATTGTCGTACCTATATATGGTTTTGTTTTAAAATGTTGACAATATACGTTTAATGACTTTTTGTGGTTCTCATTCCAGTGCAATAGGGCATGCATAATATAATAATAACATCTAATAAATAGAAATTACTATCATATTATGGTTATGATTATAAATAGTGTATAAATTAATATTTTACAAATCTATTAAATCACACTAATTAATGATCAAACATTTTTCAACTATTCAAGTAAATAATAAAGAATTTAGTTTATTTTTATAAATATGAATATGTGATAGAATACTTTCAAAAAAGTTCAATAATTTAGAAATTGTATGTGATTTTGATGGATGACAACTTTATGTATATGTAAATAAATAGGGAATATTATTATTTACAATAACCATACTAAATTGATCAATGGCCATTTGTATTTTCTATAATTATAAAGCTATGATTAAGGCTGTAAATTTAATATACCTATTAAAAAACTTTAAAAAAGGCTTTAATATTTCACCAAAATTCTTTTTAAGTGTAAAATATTATTAATTTAGTACGATGTGCATAAAATATTCATTAGATAAAAATATGAAAAAAGGGGGAAAAATTTTAACTGATATATATTATTAAAAATGTCAACAAGTCCCAAAAAATCAAAAATGCAAAAAAAAATGCAAAAAAAAAATGCAAGAAATAAGTTTCAAAATTGAATTCATTTGTACCTAATTCAAACTTTGAATTAAGAAAGCTGTTTGTTAAATGTACTTTAACTAAAAATAATTCATTTTTCCTACAAATGCACATTCTGTCATGACAAATAAGATCTTATTTGTCATGCATTTTCTAGGTAGGTAATTTATGTTCATTTAGTATTGTAAAAGTAAAAATGTATTACTTAATTAATGTAACAAACAGATGACCAAATTAAGAAGTAGGTAGTGCCGTTTTTTTTTTAATAGACAAAATTAAGTAAACAGTGTACTAATGAGTAGGTACTTACATATTGAATAAGCAAAGGTGAATCATTGACTAGAATAGAATGTATTGTAATCAAAACATTCTAGCTCATTGGATATTTTTGAGGGTCAGTAAAAATCCCCTCCAGCGTGCAAATAAAATGACTATAACACAAGCATAATGCATATAGCACACACACATGCACTAAGAAAATTAATCAAGGACAATATACTGCAATAATTAAATACCAATAATAAAACAGCTTAAAACACAAATATTAAGCTCGAAAGTCAATAGACATTCAGAGGTACATACTATTGAAGATTTGTGATGGAAGATTAACAGAAACTAACAGATTGCACAAATTATCTGAAACATTAAAATCAAAATTAATTAGTTTTACATTAAGTTATCTGTCTGAGTATGCGAGTTACTGTGACGTACATACAAAACGAAGATTAAAACAATGAATATAAAATAAAAGTTAAAACAAACAAAAGAATCGATTAAAAATATGGTAACTACGATTTTTTCTTCAATATTAACAATAATAATAACAATCTAATATACTATATCCGAAAACTAAACGAAATATTACGAATCGAACTTGTTAAAACGGAGTGCTTTTAATTTTATTTGACAACTGATATTGGATAGTGATAACTGATGAGCTTATCAAATTTTGTTTTGTAGGTTAAGATTTTAGGTTGTAATTTGATACAGACTACAATGGTACAACTTACTACTTACCATAAACATCGAGCAATATTATAAATTGACTACCTACCGAGTTGTAGATTCGTCAGGGCGTAAGTCAGGGTTTCAAGCACTGAACTAATTTGTGTTTAGTTCAGTGGTTTCAAGTCACTGTTTAGGATATATCATGGTGACATGGTTCAAGTCATTAGATTGTCAGATATAAGTATAATCATTATAAATACTTTGATCTGAGGTTCAAAATTCAAATGTTCAATTTTCAATCACTGTATGTCTGTATCATAATTTATATTTTACACATAGGCGTATTCAGACTTTGGTAGCCGAGGGGGCACAGCAAATTTTTAAATTGTATGACCTATTTTTTTTTAGACATGAAGAAACATTAATTTTTCATGTTATAAAATTCACAATGGTAGGAATATTTTTTAATTATGATAAAACAATAAAAATATATTTAAAACTAAATTAAAAACAGATACATAATACATTGTTGATATAATTTATTGAAATAAAGTGCTTATAAATCCATTCTTCTATTATATGGTTTTAATACTTTAAAAGTCTCAATGACATCATCAAAGTTAATATTTCTTGCCAATTCTTGTTCGATACTGATGGTTAATAAACCATCCAGGCGATCTTAATTCATAGTGCTCCTCAATTTGGTTTTTATAAAACTTAGTTGGGAAAATGTCCGTTCACACGAACAGCTTGTAACTGGTATAGTTACGAATATTTTAAAGGCTTTGAATACATTTGAAAATAAATCCTCTCTACCATGAACTGTAAGCCACTTAATCCATTCACCACAGGTTTTTCCTTTTGGATTTGGATCACTTTGTTTAAAATTTTATAACTGTGATCACAAATTAATAAATGCGTAACTAACAAAATTACAATCAAAATCTATGGGTATTAGGTACTGCAGGGTACACACCACACAAATTTTTTTTATCCTGACATGATTTTATTGGAGGCACAGTCGGCCGGGGGGGCCAGTGCCCACCCGGCCCCTCCCGTAAACACGCCTATGATTTTACATAATAATATGATATTATTTTTATTCAATATCTATATCTAGACACGCGGTAGCGTGTCAAGCCAAGTTCTAGCTAACAGAACTGGCGAGCAGCACCGTGTGTAATATTACACGAACCATTTGGAGCCACTTTTGACCCCCTCATAACTCAAAAACTATTCCACATAAACATGTCAAATTTGGCTCATATATTGAGACTAACGAGATACATATGTGCTCTAAATTTCATAAACACACTTCAAACCGTTATTTAGATATTAACGTCCGAAAATCGTCATTTTTATCACTGACTTACCTATAGATCAAAATTCTAACCCAGTTCCAGATGACCTAGAAAGTTCAAATTTGGCATACAGATAGGTAGTTAGGTAAATACAAAGGAAAAAATCAGAAACTTGAAAATTTTTAATTTAAAATTTTTTAATTTTTAATTTTTAATTTTTTAATCAATTGATTTTATTATAATTTTGCAATTATTTTATCTATTATGTTTAATTTTTCAATTTATAGGTTAGGTTAGGTTAGGCATAATAATTGCCTCTAGTTTAATGTACTGTAATGTAATGTTGACTTAAATAACCTTTCCCGTATCGCCGCTCCAAAAATACGACTAGCCGAATATGTGTCGATATTGTCGACCCGCGCGCAGCAACATACTTTTTTTTCTATCTATGTATGTAATTAATATTATTTTTTTTAAATATTACAATTAAAATAATTAAATAATTATTCTTACAAATTATGAATTATCCACCCAACAGTAGAAACTACAGTCAATAAAATTATGATAATTAAAAATATACTCAAAAAGAGTTAAAATAATTGTAAATTAATTTTACATATATTTTATACTCTGTGTATACAACGGAAAATATTTTATAATAAATATTATTATTAATATTAGTAACTGAATTATATTATATAGTAATAAACTTTATTTATAGAATACGTCATGGCTAGGTTAGGTTAGTTATAATAATTTACATACAAAAAGTAATGATATCCCACCAAAAACATATATGTAAAATGAGAGCCAAGTTCAATACCATAATATATGCCTTGGTTGTTGACTTCAACGACAAAATAAGTGAGATCTAAATGGGTGCCAAGTTAGGATAATATATTGAAGCCTAAGGTCTGACTTGGCTACGAATTATATATTATAGCATTTGCAAGTTCTAAAGCTTTGAGTTCTTATTTTATTCTTCGGAAAATCCTCTTCACTCTTCCATTACTGTTTTAGTAGGTACTTATAATAATAATTTGTATATGAAAAGTAGCCAAATCACACCTTAAGCTTCAATATATTATCCTAACTTGGCACCCATTTAGATCTCACTTATTTTGTCGTTGAAGTCAACAACCAAGGCATATATTATGGTATTGAACTTGGCTCTCATTTTACATATATGTTTTTGGTGGGATACCTATTATACATAAAAATTAATGTATGTGTGTCTCCTTTATGCATTCTTAAACCAATCATCCAGTGGCGTCTGTAGGGGGGGCTAACGGGCTGAAGCCCCCCTTCCCCATTGACCGTATTATTATTACTTTAAAGAAATATATTTATCAAGTTTCAACTGTCAACTATAATAAGCAAGACGTAAATTTTATATACGTCTTACCAGAATGAATAAATTTTTGAAAAAACATTGAATTTGCATTCCATAATTTTTGAGTATAAACTACTTGTATGAAAGACCTTGTATTAAATTGTCTAACCTTAACTATACACATAACACATTTAATATTTTATATGTTTTGAACTACAAATTAATTAACCGTGGTTTTGACGAAATTTGAACTTTAAATGCTTATATAAAATAATCTCGATACCTATGTATCGTTAATATTTTAGCTATAATAAAAACTTACGTATTACATTATTGACATAATATATAGAAAAAAAAATTGTAATTAATCAAATACAATCCAAGTGAGGACAGTATAACCAAGCTGGTTACCAAACAATTTGAACAAATTTTCATTTTTTTTTCTACAATTATTTTAAAAAGCAATGAACATTTTCAATTTGGGCCTCCTTAAAGTACGAACTAGTTCCAATTAGCTTCCAAAAACATACATCGGACTTCGGAGTTGATGATCAGAGCATTTTTTCTATCAGACAAGTTGAGAAGTTACAAACATTTTAAAATACCTCAAATAAACGCTTGAAATTATTAGACTGGACAAAATAAAATTGTAACTAATTTTCAAGCTCTCCCCCCCCCCATTGAAAAATCCTGCATAGACCACTGATTCATCTGATTGCTATGAAATTTGGTACAGAGATAGATTAGATCTCTGGGAAGAAGGTAGGTAATTTAAAATGGGTAAATTAGAAGTCCAACCCGAGGAGGTGGTCAAACAGATTTTGATATTTAAGATGGAAATGTTGGTAAATAGTTGCTATTGATTATAATAATTATTACCTATTATTAACGTGTATCGCCTGTTGGCGCAGTGGCACTTCTATGTACTTTATTAGTGTTAAATTATACACTCACATACAAACCACAAGGAGTCTGCAATCTACCAGGTATATTGTCTACTAGAAAATATACTGCTGTGAATCACAAAAAACGCAGGTCGAGATGGCTATACATTAAAATATAATATTATTTATACTTAAAATGACATTGCTTCCACAGTGTGTTACACCCAAAAGGAGTTGAACAATCAGAATTATTTTCCTGGCTACGCCGGGTAATTCAGCTAGTATATTATATATAAGAATAAATGTAACAAAATTGAACAGAAACGGTTATTATAAAAATAAAAAAAATAGGAATTTTATTTTTAATACAAAAAAACGTGTTTTCAAATAATACAATCAATACAATACCTACAATAGCATACGTTATGTTTTTTTTTTAGTTATTTCACTATATCGCAGGTGAAACTCTTCTGCGGATATCTTGTCGTCGTTGTACAGATCTTCCAGTTTTCGTATCTTTTTCCATTTTATCGGATCTCTGTCATGTTCCATCGCGTCGTCTTCATCGTAAAATACGATAAATTTCGGTTCCTTCTTTTTCGGCGGCATCGTGTAAGTCGTAAGAACCGATCACAAATTTGGATATACGGCAAATATATTTATTTTTAATAGAATATATTTTCTATTTCGACACCGTCACAGAAAAATTTAAAATTGTAACAAAAAGATAACACATCAACGCATCTGTTGAAGACGCCGGCATGGACCAGGTATACTTGTCTATGGCATGGACCGGTAACCTCCAAGTCACCAACCAGTTGCATATAAACAATAATATATAACAACGATGAGATAACGACTTCGCTATCAATTATCTGTTAGTTGTTATCAGCTATCAGATTCTGTTCTGATTTTTGAATGTTTTAAAGACGTAAAGAAAATGATATTTCCAAAAAAATATATAAGTTAAATCGTTAGGTTTTTCAGAGAAATTGAGAATAAAGTGTATTAACATGTATGGATGACATCAATAATTGGGTTTCTGAATTTTGGGAGTTGAATTTTATTCATTGGAAATATCGCTCCAGTATTCCGAATGGCCAACAAATTGTGTGCTCGTAAGCTAAGGTCTTTTACTCAAATATTATAAAAAGTACCTATTAAAATGAATTATTATTTTTATAAAGTAAAAAGTTTGTATGCCAACATAGTAATTTTTAAAAAACAGATATTAATAAAAAAAGATTATCCAAAAATGTGAATTGCTCAGCTACAATTGATATAACAATAAAACTATCGCAACTAAAATAAAGACCCATTTATAAAGGTAGTAGGTATAAGCAATATCATGGCTTAAATAAACAAGGTTATTGTAGTAGTACCTCACTTTATCATTTTATCACATTAAGGAATTAAAATGGCAGCATAAAGGGACGACCTATACCGGCTATACTATGATATGAAACCGCACCCTTACGCTGACATTTTATTTTTGTTTGATAACGATATGGGCTATGTGCAATAACCTTGTATATTTAAACCATGAGCAATATATTAGGTATCTATTTTGTTCAAATGTTTTCAAACCACTTGAATGAATATCATTTTTAGTTTTTATAACAATTTTTCAATTTCACACCATATCAACTCATACATATAATGGATCAATTTGCTTTTATTAAAATGAGAATATGAGATTAGTGCTGAATAGATGTTTGATGGTTGATATAAAATATATTGTAATCTATTACTTACCTGATATTTAAACCAGCTATACTCCTTTTCAAAAGAGAATATACCGGTCAGCGACCAATTTATGTCAGGCGGCGCGTATTTCCCACCAATTGTCCATTGATAGCGAGACCACGTGGTTCGAGACGCACCCATCGAATCATTCAACATGCGCGAAAGCGGTATATTCTCTTTTGAAAAGAAGTATAAATGGTGTGAGTAAATAAAAAAGTTAATAAAAATAAAATGTTGGGTAAATGTGCCAAATGGCAAAACTTCAATAAAATATACAATAGAAAAAGAGATCTTTTATTGCCAAAAAAAAAAAAACTTTTTACAAGTTAGATATTAAGAGTAAACTTATGAAATTAGCAAAATGCATAAATCTCTGGTCTAAATCAAATATTGAATTGAGCATTATTCAATAATAAAAAAAATTAACTAAAAAATAGATTAACCAATTAATGAAATTCAAGTAACTTATTTTGCTCTACCCCGTTTGCTGTAATTTCCCTTCTTTGCTTTCTTGCTGGCTTCTGCTGCTGCTTTCGCTTCATCAGCCTAAATATAAAAAATGCAATGTATAGTTATTTATTATATATGAGATAATATTAGTTTAATTGTTTACAATTTTGCCATGCATAAAAAAAATAAATTAAAAATTGTGCAATAATTATTATATTAATATATTCTGTTTCATATAATGGACAAGAGTAACTTTGGGCTGCAGCCATCTGCGCACAGCGGTGGCCAACACACTCTGTTTGCGTTACCTTATAATTCCAACAACAAGATAGTTATTGTAAATACCAACACAGTAAAATAATTTTTTTGCTGTGACCGATCATTGGATACAATAGCTGACTACAAATATCGATACTGAGAAGTATGAACTGACCAGACAGGTTAAAATTTTATGAGAAGAATACACTGTATATTATATTATATTTTTCCACTAAGAGAACACGATGGCCCGTCAAAAATTTGGCATTGGCTCTTCTGTGCATCCTCATGTGACATAGAACTGGTCTCAATGGCAGAGTGTAGCGTGTGGATGCACTGACTCAGTGAGTTCTTTCGCTGGACAGAGTATAGTTATTACTTAGGTACTTCCAGGTTTTTTTGACTACCCAAATATTTCCCAGACTATCTGTTATAATCATCCGGGCAATCTCGTCCACTTTAAACGTTTTCAAGACTACCTTGTATAACCTGGTAATATGTTATATCCTTATAACACTTTGAATTTCGATTTTGAATATTTATTTAATTTTGGTTTTAAATTTAAATAATTTTTTTATACTCATAAATTATAACATATACCTAATACCTAATAAATAAAAAAATATTATCGAGATAACTCGGAAGTACCATGACTAATTACTTCTTAGTTACAAGCATGATTTAAGATATATAGGTTACTCAACAGAAAGCCTTATTTTTGATACCCAGTTTATACTTGGTAACGGTCTGCGATAAGTGCAGCTACCACCCAAGCGGAAATTAATGTAATTAAACAATGTATATTTTTATGATATATATATAATATAATTATGTACACTGAGAACACTATCTGTACTTCTTCCTATGGTGAACAGCTGATTTTTGAGATACACTCTGAGCATCATTCTGGAGACCAGTTTATAAAAGGCATTGAGTAATCTGTATATCTTAAATTGTGGTTACTAGTTAATAATTATTGATTATGTTAATACATATAATATAATTTTATAAAACAAAAATTAGAATATTATTTTTAATAAAACTCTTTAAAAGCTATACTTTAACAATTAACATTGCTGCAATAAATAAGTAAATTAACTTACTTTACGCTTATTTGGTGTTGAAGAGAATGAAAAAAATGAATCCAACCTGCCCTGAGTTGTACCAGATCGTGCTTTGAGTAACTTCTTAGCTCCATTCCTTACTCTATCTTCATTGAATCCTCTATTACCACATAAAAATTTTACCAAGCCTTCTTCATCTGGATCTATCCATTTCAACTAAAACATTCATTCTAATATAAATATGGTGAAAATTCCATATTAATAAGTTTTATCAGGAACAAAAATAATATTTGCTTAATAGCGGGTGATCTATAGGACATCTATAATAACCCACTCATTATTTTAAAAACTATTAAAATCTTTAAAAATATTTTTTTAAATAATTTTAAATCATTAAATAACATTTTTCTAAGAAACCATATTTTTACTATTTTTTAATTACATGCATTTGTCCTTATTCCAAACCAGAATATCTTTTGGGTACTAGGTTAAATCAAATTTTGGACTAGATGAACAGTTTACGAGATATAACTTATAAGTATTTAAAGTTTAGATGAGCGGAGCGGAATGGTGGGTTCTATAAAATGTTGGAAGTCTTAAGGTTCTATATTGCACTCTAGTACGTTCTATCCTTGAATATCACTCTACCACATACCTCTGTAATATGATTGAAAGAATTAAAAAACAAATTCTACATGCGATTGCGTATCATCTTGGTCTTACACACGAATACACCCTGGCTTGAAATTTCCTCAATCTCCCTAATCTTGCTGATCTCAGACATGAGACAAATCTTGGACATCTATCCTATTTCCTAACTGGTGAAATTGATGCTCCATAACTTCTAGCTTTGTTATTTTTCAATGTCTCTTCTCAATTTACCCACTACCTAACGTATCCGCCAATTTTTTGGCTAATGTACACCTCAAACCACGATTCCACTTTTTCACTTTCGTTTGTATATATTGTGTCAATCAATCAATTCATCAATATATATTTTAACCTTAATGTTTTTTGGGTTTGTCCCGCACTAAGAAACTAAGTATTAAAAAAAATATATTACATCTATAGTTTCAGGATCTGTTATTTCTGGTTCAATGAATAATCGTCGAGCTTCCTTATATGGCCAATCTTCAGGTACTTGGTATTTTTTGGTATCTAAATTTTCAATTATGTTTTCTAATGATTTGTATTGTCGCATTAGCTCAATAGCTCGTTTTGGTCCAACCCCTTTAATACTGTTACAGTAATCACATCCTAACAGTATACACAGATCTATGAACTAAAAATATAAATACACTTATAATATACACTTATTCTTGAGTTAATAATACCAAAAGTAAAATTACTTCATCTCTAGACATTTCCATTGTTTCCAATACTGAATCTAATTGAAACTCTTGAATTGGCATTTTCCTGGCTTCGCTGAACGTCATATGACGTAATAACACAGGAGAACCAAATGTTAAAGCGTCCATATCCTCAGTAGCCGTGGCGTACACTTTACCAGCTTTTACCATAGCAGCACATTGGGCTTCAGCTTCACATGGAGCCTATAAAATAAATAATTTCACATTGATATTTGTTAACTAGATCTTAAACTAAGACAAAATATTATTTGATTTACTACAAAACTCTTTAAATTATACATAAAGCAAACTATTATTTAAATAACAAATTTGTATAAGAACTGTAGGTTTAGGATTTAACTTAGCTGGAATTAAATAAATTTAATAACACAATTTTGTTGAACTTTTAAATTAAATAAGGTAATATAGGTAATAGAACAGGGTACAATTCAGGACTATCTCCTGTCTTCTAACTGTAAAATTCAAGAGTGCAGCGACAAAATATCTTAATTCTAGTCTTAGCTCTAACTGAAGGTAATAAAACCAAAACTATTCCTACTAGAATAAAATTAAATACATTTAAGTTATTATAACTATAAAAACTAATTTATAATATTATATATAATAAACAATTGAAATACTAAAAATATGATGGATCACTATCAGAATTTAAAAAAACTTAATGTTTTAACCTACAATTATGTATTTAATATACATAATTGTATAATACAAGGTTGCCAGTGTTTGTTGCCGGCCAAGGCAGTTCATATACAAAATGCTATTGATAATATGAGTAGGTGCAGTGGCGTATTTTCAATTTATTTCTGGGGGTGGTCCAATAATTCCAACATAATATAGATGGGTACTGATATATAGAAAAAAATTTTAATAGATTATAAGAATAAAAAATAGTTGTTTTATTATATTTTATAATTTTCAAGTACAAAATCCAAGTGTCTTTTTTTACAAAGTTTTATTTTAGATTCTGGGTGAAACGATGAATGTATTGATTTTACAATGATGTGTGTTTTTATATTTTTTTATTTTTTTATTTTTTATTTTTTTTGTATCTGTGTACACGATAAGTAGTCGAAATAATGCTTCGTTTTTCGACTTCAGTATCTTGTTCGATTGGAAAGTGAATATCGTTGGTGCATTGGGGAGGTTAAAATTTAAATTTCCCAGTAGTTTTCACAAGCACCGGGAAAAACCACTTAAAAATTAGGGAAAAACGGGAATTTTTACGCAAAATCTATTTTCAAAAAAATTGATTTTGGTTTTTGGTGTAACTCTAAAACAAATGAACGTATATACATTAAATTTTCACTGGTAGTTTATATTTGCATTTTCTATACACGATAACATTTTCAAAATATTTTGATTTATTTTGAACTGTTTAGGGACATTTTCATTTTCCACTTTTTTTAGTTTTTTTTCTAAAAATATCAATAAAATTTTATTTGTTGGTTGCGAAAGCTTGAAAATTTAATAGAAGGCTCCTAATATGTTGTTTCAAAGGCAGATGAAAAATAATAAAAATCCTTAGTCACAATTTTTTTTTATAAGCATTTAAAGTTCAAAAATTGACAAAATATGGAAAAATCACGAAAATTAGCAAATTATTTTGAGTTAAGAATTCGTAAAAATTTTCTTTTTAAATCTAAGATTTGAAAATCTAATACAAGATTACTCATATGATTGTCTACCTTTATCAATAAAAAAATTTCTACCGGAAAGTCAAATTAAATTTTTATGAGCGTTTGAAATTCAAATTTTTACAACATTGGATATTCACTCGATTTCTCATGTGGCAATTTCCTTTTTTTGTTGTAATTAAAAAACGAATTACTGTAGATACATGAAAATTTTACTGAATGTTTATATTAGCATTTCCTATACACCCTACAATTTTGAAAATATTTTGACACTTTTTGAGCCGTTTACGGACATTTTCAGTTTTCAATTTTTTTAGTTTTTTTTTTCTATAAATATCAATTAAGTTTTATCTGTTGGGCCAAAAAGTGTAAAAATTTAATACAAGGCTCCTGATATATTGTTACAATATCAGTTGAAAAATATTAAAAATACATAGGCACAATTTTTTTTTATAAGCATTTTAACATCGAATTTTGATAGAATTTTTCAAAATCTCGAAAATTATTAATCATCGTAATTAATAAATTATAAAATGTTCAGTTTTTATAGCTAAGGATTGAAAATTTAAAACAAGATTCCACGTAAGTAGTTAATTCTCTTACCGAAAAATCTAAAAAATATACAATCACAGTTTATTTTTATAGTCATTTTATGTTCAAATTTGGACGAAATTACATATTAAAAAACCTAGTTATTTTGTTGTGATTATATAATATTATTCGTGGGTACCTACTTGAAACTTCTAAAAATCTAAAGTGTACTATTATATATATATGATAGTATCAGGGTTTGTTGTTGGTGTATAACGTGTTATAAGTACCAAATGGATATTGTGATAATGTGATATGATTAATTTGGAATTTATTATAGGTCAATTTTTTTTTAATACCATATATATGTATATAATTTGTCTTAAACCTAGACTGACATACCGTCTTCGCTCAGAATCGTTTTTCTTATACAATGATATTGTATCATTGAATTCAAATTTAATAGCATCAATTATACAGTGACCCACTTGTAACCTGCTGTACAACAGAGCGACATCCACTTACCCACCTTTTTTTATTTGAAGACATACTTATTCCAATTCCAATTTCCAAACAATAAATAGATACAAATAATTTATAAATTATACAACTATAAAAAAAATAAAAAATAAATTTGATACCATTTATTAAATAATTATGAAATGTTAGGTTTTGTCAAATCTGTATTTACACCTATCACAAATGAGAGACAATAATTTTTCTCAGTACACGTTGACAAGCATTATTTCCATAGCAGTTTAATAATATTATGTTGTCAACTTCGTGTTAACACGTAAAAATAATGAAAGGTTTAAATCGTAGAAATATGACTTTATGACGACAGTCGTCCATATCACTCTGTAATCTCTGAACAGAAAATAAATACTAAGTAGTAAGTAGGTAAACATGGTTCTAAATGAATACTGCTAATTGTCGGCCAGTTGACTCCAAAAATTACATTAATGTTTTATGTTATTATAAAAAATAATGAATTCTTCACTGCTCACATCGGATCAATGAGCTATTATTATTATTTACTAACCTAATTTACTAGGTATATATTTAATTTGTACTTACATAAGTAATAGATCTAATATATTTTATTGAAGAAATAATATTCAAATACATGCACTCGTAGCCGATGCCGTCGTTCGGTAACAAAATACAAACATGAAGTAATTAGTAAATGATTCTACGACAATAATTGCCGTGTTTACAAAGCAAAAATTTAAATAGATAAATAATAGCTACCAGCTATACTGTCCTATAGAAATAGTTTATTGGAGAATGATGTGCGTCGTCAATTTCTTGCGATAAGAATGTTTTGACTTTTTTGAGAATTATTGATGTTTATCTAATATGGGTATTTTATAAAGTGTAATACTACAATACAAGGATAAGTTTAGTTACACGGGTTTTTGAACGTTCGGTCGTTGGCTAATTTTAAACTATATTTCATATAAATATTTTGTTCACGGGAAAAAACCTTGTCTGCGTGTGCTTACATATATATCGGGGTCTGCAAATATGTAATACATTTTTTTTTTTTTTTGGAGAGATTCTGGGGGGGTCCAGTACCCCTGGACCACCCCCGTAAATACGCCACTGAGTAGGTGCATGACATAATCGTGGACCTGAACCAAAATTGGATGTTTAACATATCTATTATCTTGATTGTTATGTGTCTATCAGTAGTGGTCTATAGATATTAGATAATTTATACAAATATGAGACATACTTCTACATAAGGAACTCCCATTAGTTTTAGTAATTCTTTGCATTCAGTCGTATGAGTTGATGTTACTTTTACCAATCGTTTACTGAATTTGTCGATTCCGGTAGCATCACCTAGAAAACAATAAATCAAAATTAGATATAAATAGCTTATAATCAAGTCTAATAGGTATAGTATGTAACAATACCGGCTTCTTCTGCTTTTTCTAATGATTTTTGTGCTTCTTGCCTCCTATCAGCTCGTTTTTCTAATTCTGATGATTTCATTTGAGGAGGTTTACCATCAAATACATATACTGGTTTAATACCATTTTCCAAAAGTCTTATTGTACGATAGAATGTACCCATAATATGACTGGGACAAAAACATACACATATTAATTGATTTTAATGTACATTATATTGTTTAATATTAATAAAATACCAACAAGAAATGTTGGGAAGCGATAGAGAAACAACTTATAACTATGTAAAATGTAACAAAGCAAACACAAAAATAATATATGAAATTGACAGAAAAAATTGCAAGAGAATTATACAAAGAGAGAAAAGGAACTTCTTAAACAATATACTATAGGAAGCTAAAAAAAATCTTTGCAAGGTAATATAAGGAACTCTTTTAGAATCATCAAGCAGTATTATTCAGTCACAAATCTTCGTATTTTATTTTAATAACACACATTTATAAATTGTTGTTAGCAATATTATGACCAATTGAGGGACGACGACATCGACTGCCAGCTAACACTTGGTGGCTGAGCGGTTTATAGGGTTTTGTCCTAAAAATATCTACAAATATTTTCCATATTCAACTGTCAGAAATATATAATCTATAAAAATTATTGGTTATTATTTAAATTATATTTGGTTATTATTGGTATATATAATTTTAAATTGTAAATAGTTGAATAAAGGCATTCAATTCAGCTTAAGAAAAAAAATATTCATTATAATTAATAAGCAATTATTGCATATTTATAATATATATAAATATATACTCTAATATTTACCTACTGGTAAATACGAGTATATTTACCAGTAGGTTAATAGTAAATATATTTAGATATTTACAATCCACCACTCCTGTTAATGTAGGCTGGATTCCCGCCTGTAGTGAAGACAAAGTCATTGAAAAAGTTAACGAGTTTCAGTACCTAGGAGCCATGCTGAATGTCAAAAATGATTGAAGTAAGAATAACTAAGGCTGAAAGGGTAGTATTTGCACTAAGTAAGTTTCTAAAACAAAGGCAAGGCTGTATACGGCGATAATAAGACCCACGTTAATCTATGAATGTGAAACCTGGACAACCACTAGTAATACAGAAAGGAGATTAAGGACATTTAAGAACAAAATATGGAGAATAATTTACAGTCCTGTCTATGATAACAGAATAGGTGTGAGGAGAAGAAATTTTATCAGGAACTACAGGATGAACTGGGAATGGCACCAGTTAGTAGATTCATAAGTGGCCAGCGGATACAAGTACTTAGTCACGTAATGAGCAGAAATGAGGAAGAGACGGTTAGAGCGGTTCTGGAATGGAGTCTTACGGAAAAGAGGCCTCGCGGACGGCCTAGATAGAGATGGATGGATACAGTGGAAGATGATCTCAAAAAAAATAGAGGTACGAGAGAGGAGAACAATAGTTCATAATAGGGAAGAGTGGAGACAGATTTTGTAGAAAAAGATTAATAAAATACCTAGTAGTTTCACCATCGGAGCTTGTCAGTTGTGCTCCCTCACTGCGGACAGCGATCAAAAACTGATAAAGACTCATAGAAGCGTCAATCGCAATTTTCCGGCCTGAAATCAAATTGTAATAATTTTGTAATTTGTATTCGAACCGTTTGTTAATTAGATACAAAGTAACTTACCAAAATGATTTTTAATTTCATTCTCTTTAATGGCATTTGGAGCAAAGTCTGCTATAAGTTTCGCTAAACCGGTAATACCCATAACGAAATTGTTTAAAACTTATTTCTCTTTTCGGCAAAAATGTGGTTATTTGATCAGCATTCGATTTAGTACTCAAATGACAATGATACCATTGATGAAAACACAGTAATTAATTCTTGAATCGTGTATGGACTATTTCAAAACTTAAAACACAAAAAACAGTAAGTATTAAGTACACTAAAAAGGTATTACAGTTCTGCTTCTGAGTTTTGACCTCCCGATACACTAGTGGCTGAGATCACTAGTAAACAAAAAAAAAAAAATTGACAATAAAATATAAACAAACATTTTAGCGGTAAAATTACAAAAACCAGATTAAACTATTAAAGATTAACAATTTTTGAGGTTATACCACAATATATTGATAAAAAATCACAAACAAGGGTTTTTGGAGTACTCAAACAAAATACGCAAAGGCATTCACTAGTACTTTTTTTTCGTGCCATTATCCTAAAAACAATTTTGTGAATTAAAACAACTAACGTCAATCCAAAATAAATTGTTGTTGGAAAATTGGAATTTGAAATTCAAAATTCTAATTTGTCTTATCAGTTACATACATCATATCATTGGGAAAAATATTTGATAAGTCGTTTTGCTACGGCATATCACGGAAATCACGATTAAAGATAAAATATGTGGCAGAAATGTACACATAACTGGCGACTTGTCCCTAACATGTACATTAAAATATTGAGCTGCTGCTCCATTCATGTTCTATTGTATATTATGATCTGAGTAAAAAACCAAGTGAATGAAAACACGGCCGTAGATAACATGACTATAATATATACAATGTACTAGACTAGCAGCATAGAATATATACATAGACCACGAACCATATTTATGTATTTCTATAAGTCTATGGATATAATATACAACTATATAGATAGCTGTCTCTATACTACTGTAGCAGTAAGTTGTGACCAATGTTGAAGTCTGCCGCCATTTATATAAATTAACATACAAATGTTTACATTTATTTTACATTTATTCATATATACTTATATTATATACAGTATACATATATATTATATACTATGTACTGTGATAATATTAAATTGTAAATGATGGCCGACTTCGATACATATACTATTAATTGTAACATTTTCGTCTATTTCATCTATTTCTTAAGTCTACAACTATAATATAGTATAATATTAATATAGTTGTTGTATCTTGTTTATCTGTGACTAGTGGTAGATATTGAGAAAAAAACACCTAAAACATAATACCTATTGGCTATTATTATTATATTATAATAATAACTATTAACTAATGAGTATATTAATGTTTATAATCATAGTTTTTATAATTCTAGTATTTTATTTAATTAATCATAGACTATAATATTATACCTGCAGTATTACCTAACCAATGTTATTCGGTTAAGAACAATCAACTTTTTCCTTATATCATTAATATATTATGTACATCATTTTCCCTGAAACATACTAATAAATAATAATTATAGTACCATTGTTTATAATATAGTATTATTAATATATATATAATTGTGGCATGGTGCAAAAAGAGCCAATGTCATATTTTGATAGTGTTCAAGAATTAAAAATATTAAAATGTACATAAAAATCTTAAATTTTTTGTTGGATTTCCAAAAATGTTGTTACTTAATTACATTTGTTTTTATTTCATTGTATGGGCTCTCATTTTGTTTTTAAATATAATAAAATTACTTTGGTTTGACATTGGCCAAAAACTAAAATTTAAAATAAACAATTTTTAATAATTAAAGAACTTGATTTTTTTATGAAAACCTAATAATAATATTCAATTGAGCATAATGTTAGTAACTTTTACATTTATAAACTTTATTAATTGATTTTGAAATGGTCAATATCAACACAGGACCACAATAAATTGATTATTGTCAAAAAGGCCAGTGTCGAGTCTAATTTTGCCATTCAGCATAAGAGACATTGGCCCTTTAAACACAAGTAGTACAGTAAGACTTCCATTAACGGTCATCCCTATAGGATGGTCATCTCTATGTAACAGTCAATTTTTTTAGTCCCGTCGGGTGTATCCTAGTGTTATCCTACCTCTAAATAGCGGTCATTATTTACAGTCCCTTTGGTGACTATTATATAGAAGTTTTACTGTATAAGCAAATTTTAATGACATTGGTAAAATAACCCCAATTTTGTTAAAATGTGACATTGTCCCTTCTTGCACCAAGCCACAGATATAATCAATGGTAGGTACTTAATGCTTATTGTCATAATATTATTTAATACTTTCAAAATATACTAAATAGTAGGAATATTTATTAATTTTATGTTTATTCTGGTAGTTGTTTTTTTTCTAAATAGTAAATTAATAATATTTATATTTATAATATAATCAATTATATTGTTGTGTATAGCAAGCTAATGAGAATATATTACAGGCTATATATATAGTCTGTGGATATATAATTTTTATTAATGCTTACAATTATTTCTGTGTTTCTGGCTCGACCAGAATGTTTCCAAGGGCTCCCATACTTGTTAGAACTTTATGAAATGTTTTAAAATTATAGGAATGGCCGAAAGTATCTGGGGACCACCTTCTGATTGTACCACTGTTATATATGTGTGTAGCCAAGAAGTAGGTAGGTTATGAGAAGCATAGTGGGGATCTAAGTTTTTACATTTTTTGTATATAAGTAATAATATGAATAATATATTTATTATGAGTGATCGACAATGGTGTTATGAGGGGGGAGTGGATTAAACAATGAGCTATGATTCAAAAACGAATAACTGTAGATACATGAAAATTTCACTGAATATTTATATTAGCATTTCCTATACACCATACAATTTTGAAAAATATTTTGACTCTTTTTGAGCTGTTTACAGACATTTTCAGTTTCCAATTTTTTTCAGTTTTTTATTCTATAAATATCAATAAATTTTTATCTGTTGGGCCAAAAAGTGTAAAAATGTAATACAAGGCTCCTGTTATATTGTTACAATATCAGTTGAAAAATATTAAAAATACATAAGCACAATTTTTTTTTATAATTATTTAAAGATCGAATTTTGACAAAATGTATCAAATTTAAAATTGAATAATTTTTTTGTAGTTAAAATGTATAAAATTTTCAACTTTTGTATCTAAGGATTGAAAATTTAAAACAAGATACCACGTAAGTAGTTAATTCTGTTACCAAAAAATCTAAAAAATACATAAGCACAGTTTATTTTTATAATCATTTTAAGTTCAACTTTGGACAAAATTACATAAATAAAAACCTAGAATAACTATTTTAGTTATTTTGTTGTGATTGTGTAATATTATTCGTATGTACTTGAAACTTCTAAAGTACACTATTATATATCTATGGAGTATGGACTATGATAGTATCAGGGTTTGTTGTTGACGTATAACGCATTTTAAGTACCTAGTGGATATTGTGATATGATTAATTTGGAATTTATTATAGGTACCTATTTAGGTAAATTTTTTTTAATACGATAGATAAGTATATAATATGTCTTATACCTAGACTGACATACCGTCTCCCCTCAGAATCGTTTTTCTTATACAATAATATTATATCATTGAATTCAAATTTAGTACTATCCATTATACAGTGACCCACTTGTAACTTACTGTACAGCAGGGCACCTTTTTTTATTTTGGTTTTCTAATGTTTCATTTAATACAGAAAATTAATGTAGGTAACCTGTGCTGTTCAAGTTAATTTTGAAAAGTTGTAAAATAACTCAAAATAATTCTATAGTAAAAAATGTTCAACTTTTTTAGTATAAAAAATCATAGCTAATTTGATATAAATATAAACAAATACAAGTTTTAATTGTTTTAATTTATGAAGAAACGTCTATTAGATTTTCAAGGTTTATGCCTAAATATTTTTTGCCAACATTTATTGAAAAACAAAAAAAATTTAAAAAGTTTTTAAATAATATCATGTATAGATAATGCTAATATAATTGTTGAACATTTTAAGTCTTTAATCTGTGAATTACAACTTAAACCCTAACTAACCCAATATTCGCATTTTTAGTTTTTCCTGATTGTTTTAAAAATTCTAAATTGACACCATAATGTACCAATTTATTATACTCTGTTCAAAATAGGAAACGTATGTGCCTGCCGACTTGTGCGCAGGGGCAGAACAATACTGCACGGCAGGTATATAGATAAGTGACTTGATGGGGGTGACAAATGTGTGTTACAACAAGTGTCGTTTGCGTTTCTTATTTTGTATAGAGTATAGAATCAATTTGCTACCAGACACCATGGTTAAAGTTTAAGATTGAAGCATGTTTTCAAGTGTTTAATAATGTAAAATTTAAATCAATTTGTATATTAATTATCCTAAAATATTAATTAGATTATTTACCTCAAGATTAATATTTTATACTTAAAAGCTGTATATTTAATGTGTAATTAAATATAAATAAAAGTCCACAAATTACAATAATTGTATAATTCTAAATAACCAATTATAGTTAGTTAAATATCAAATGTGCTTCTAATAAATCTTATATTCAGTAGAGATTATTATTATACATTCATACAGCTTTAAAAATATTTTAGTCTTTAGATATTATGTGATGAAAAACTGGCCAAATAAGTACTTAAGGAGTAGGTATCAAAGAAGTATATAAAACCATGATTTAGAATTTAAATTTGTTTAATTTAAATAAATAAGCAAAATACTAGAAAAATGCTAAAAATGGAAAAATAAAAGCATAACTTTTAAATCATTCCTTTATAAACAATAACATTAATGAAAGTAATAACATTTCAATGGGCAATCAATTATATTTATCATTAGTATTTATATTAATATTTTGTAAACAAATTTTACCAATGTGATTTGGTATACAGATTAGTTATTTTATTTACAGAACATTTGAGAACAATAATTTCATAATTAATGTTATGAACAATGAAACATTGACTACATTTCAAATTTGATTCTCAAGATAATTCTTATTTTACATAATACAATGTTTAGATGAAAATAATATTATGTTCATCAAAATAAGTAAAACTACTAATATACTATAAATTAATTAATACCAGTTACAATTTGCAGAGAACAAAAAAAATAATTTTACCTATGAAATAAATTCTTTATATTTATGTATTAATATAATTAAAATTAAATTAAGTCAAAATTACTCATAAAAAAAGCCAAAGTTATAGAAAAGCCATAAAATATTGATTCTGTACATATTACAAATAGGAAAAAATGTTATTTAAAAATTTAAAATATTTATAACACTATGTATGTACAGTATATAGGAAAGAAGTTTTATATAGAACTAATAATATATTTACTGAACTAAAAAGTAAGCATTTAAATAATAACCTAATAAGTAATTAGTTTCTTTTGGCCAAAATGTATTTAAGCTACATTAGATTTAAATAGAAACATCAGCCATTAACCATGTGGGTTTTTTGATGATATTTGAAGTGACTTGAGCTTGTGAAAGATTTTAAGCAAATTTCACATTTGAATGGTCTATGGCCAGTATGTGTACGGTAATGAACAACTAGTCCACCGGCGCTAGAAAATAATTTATCACATACATCACACTTCAATGTTTTTTTATCATTTGAAATCACATGAGATTTTTGGTGGTATTTGAAATGACTGGAACTGGTAAATGACTTGAAGCAAACTTCACACTTGAATGGACGATCACCAGTATGCATTCTGTAATGAACTACAAGGCCACCTGAACTGGAGAACAATTTGCTACAAACATCACATTTCAAGGTTTTTTTGGTAATCAACTGCGAATGAGACTTTTGATGATACTTGCAGTGACTGGAACTAGTAAATGTTTTAAAACACACATCACACTTAAATGGCCGGTCACCAGTGTGAGAACGGTAGTGAACAGTCAGACCACCAATGCTGGAGAACAGCTTGTCACATACATCACACTTCAGCGGTTTTGTATCTTGCAAAAAGTGATGGGTTCTCTGATGGTATAAGATACCATTAGCACAAGAATATTCTTTGTTGCACACATGACATTTAAATGGCTTATCCCCTGAATGTACACGCATGTGGTAATTGTAATGACTTGAATTTGAGAAAGTTTTATTACATAAATCACACTTGAAAGGTTTGTTACCTGTATGTGTTCTGTAATGGACAGTCAAACCACCAGAACTAGAGAAGGATTTTTTGCACACATCGCACTTAAATGGTTTGGCTTTAACCTCGGCTTTTTTCAACCCAAACTCATGCAAATGCTTTTTGGTATCTAAATTTTGACCCATTTCTTTAGATGTAGAGAATTGTCCATTTAACAATGTGCTACTTCTATGACTGAAATCAAAACTATTCATCATAATTAGTTAATAGCTAAACAAAAATATAGTTTATTTAAATCTTACTGGGGAGGTCTGAATAAGTCATTTCTATTAAATCGAAATGCTGGACTGATTTCTATTTCACTCTCAAATAGACTACTGTTGAACATTTCTCTATCAAATCTGATAGTTAATCGAGCATTGGAATTTAATTCATAGGCACTAGCTGGTAAACCAAATGTTGGCATGTGACTGTAACAAGAAAATGTTTGTGGTTAATATTTATTTATAAATAATTGTTATTAGAGTATACAATTTTTAATACACTATTCATACCACAATTACCTAGTTAAAATGATGAATAATTGTTATTTCAAATTAATTATAATAGTAAAATGTATTATAACTATGTTCAAAATTCTAAATAATACATATTATTATGATAATACCCTAATCCCGCGTTGCACAAAAAATGTACCAATCATGGGTTACTAAATTTGTTTAACGAACCATTAGCTCACTATTGATTCAATAAATGTTAAGTGATTGTTTGTGCAACACGGCATAACAATAACTAATTGATAATATACTGTATAAATTATTTTCTGACCTCTAAACAACACCTTGAAGGACTAACGGTCCCCACACACTGCAGCGGTGGCGTTAAATTCTACTTAGTTGGCTTAACCGCCGCGGTGAGCAGTGAAATGTGTCCTGCAGAAATTCACCACCGCCGCTAACGCTGACGTGTGTGGGGACCTTTAGTCTTATTGAAAGATAGATAAAAATACAATAATGGTATGTACCTTCTATCATCAGTAAGTCGCAATTTGAATAAACTAAATACATAATTGTTACCTTATATTGTTGATCAGGGCCCCTTGGCTTGCAGAACGATCATGTTTGATGTTCTCCACGGCATCAATAACTCGCGCCGACGGCACTGGATGATTGGTTTCCATATTCAGAGCTGACCGATTTAATAACAGAATTCCATTATAAAAACTATGTAGAACACATGAAATTTATGCTTTATTGATAGACAACACCAACACTGCCTACAATACGGACGAATATCGCATAGTCAATGAATGCTACAACACAATCGCACATTATGAAAAAACGTACTCAGAACATAATATTATTACGCTGAATATAAAAAACGAAAAAAATGGTTACTCGCGAATAAAAAATTATTATTTCTTTTACTGTGAAGACAGTTTTGAATTTTGTGTTAAATTCGCATTCAGGTATCGTATTATTCGTATTATCGTAATTGTATCGTATAAACAATAAAACCGAACCAACGCAAATTATTTTGATAAGAACCGAGTCACTCAGCCAGGCGCTCTGTTGATATTGTAGTAGTCGAAACTGGTAACCATGAAAAATAATAATTAATAATAAAATTATGATAGGTGGTACCTATATTCTGTCTATATTATTATAATTATAAATTAATATTATAATATATTATTATAAAACATATTGTGCGTTTGTTGGTAAGTACCAACTCGATAATCTCGGAAACCACAAAACCTATCGAAGCCATATTCACATAATCACATATCACATATTATTATTAGGTTTAGTTGGTGCTCCCATAGGTTTTTGTTTTGGTGAGGTGCCGCCGCCTCCGCCACCAAAAAAAATTCTTTTCTGGCAATACAATTTTTGCCGTCAGTGGCTGCAGTGGGGGGCCTAAACCATGTAAACCAGAAATTTGATATCCGTTACCTTATACCTTAATTCCAAAAAAATCGCTTGGGAGGTAAACTGCATTCGATCGATTTTTTGTAATTTTTTTTCAAAATGTGTGTCTTTGGGAATGTTAGTATAATACATTTATATGCTCAACAGTTTTATGAAATAAATATTTAACTATCATTCTTACTTTTTATGTTATTGTTAATAAGTCTCGTAAAACTGAATTAGAAAGTTAATTCAAACATTTGCATATTAAAGTAACTCAAAATTTACTTTTTGACTTTTTTTTCGTTCGGTGTGTAAGAACATAAAGAAGTTTTTGGTGAAATCAAAACTAGAGTTTCCATATATTTTATATTTTAGATTCTGAGTGGAACGATGAGTGTATTGATTTTACAATGATGTGTGTTTTTATATTTTTTTATATTTTTTATTTTTGTGTCTGTGTACACGATAAGTAGTCGAAATAATGCTTCGATTATCAACTTCAGTATCTTGTTCGATTCGAAAGTGAATATCGTTAGTGCATTGGGGAGGTTAAAATTTAAAATTCAAAGTAATTTTCAAAAGCGCCAAGAAAAACAAAAGAAAAATTAAGGAAAAACGGGAATTTTTACGCAAAATCGATTTTTCACAAAATTGAATTTGGTTTTTCGAGTAACTTTAAAAAAAATGATCGTAGATACATGAAATTTTCACTGGTTGTTTATATTTGCATTTTCTATACGTGATGACATTTTCAAAATATTTTGATTTATTTTGAACTGTTTATTCACATTTTCATTTTCCATTTTTTTTTTAGTTTTTTTTTCTAGAAATATAAATAAAATTTTATTTGTTGGTTAAAAAAACTTGAAAATACAAGGCTCCTACTATATTGTTTCAAAGGCAGATGAAAAATATTAAAAATCCTTAGTCACAATTTTTTTTATAAGCAATTAAAGTTCAAAAATTGACAAAATATGGAAAAATCACGAAAATTAGCAAATTATTTTGAGTTCCTAACTCAATTTCTAATTCGTAAAAATTTTTCTTTTTAAATCTAAGATTTGAAAATGTAATACAAGATTACTCATAAGTTTGTCTACCTTTAACAATAAAAAAATCTCTACTGGAAAGTCAAATTAAATTTTTATGAGCGTTTGAAATTCAAATTTTTACAACATTGGATATTCACTCGATTTCTCATGTAGCGATTTCCTTATTTTGTTGTAATTCAAAAACGAATAACTGCAGATACATGACAATTTCACTGAATGTTCGTATAAGCATTTCCTATACACTGTACAATTTTGAAAATATTTTGTTCAATTTTTTTAGTTTTTTTTTCTATAAATATCAATAAAGTTTCATCTGTTGGGCCAAAAAGTGTAAAAATGTAATACAAGGCTCCTGATATATTGTTACAATAGCAATTGAAAAATATAAAATATACATAGGCACAATTTTTTTTATTAGCATTTAAAGATCGCATTTTGATCAAATTTATTAAAATCTCGAAAATTATCTATCATCGTAATCAATAAATTATAAAATGTTCAGTTTTTATAGCTAAGGATTGCAAATTTAATAAAAAGGTTCTCATAAATAGTTCATACTGTAACCAAAATATCTATAAAATATATGAACACAGTTATTTTTTACAGACATTTTAAATTCAAATTTGGACGAAATTACATACTTATTAAAAAACCTATAGAATAACTATTTTAGTTATTTTGTTGTGATTGAATAATATTATTCGTGGGTACTTGAAACTTCTAAAGTGTACCATTATATATCTATGATAGTATCCCGGTTTTTGTTGATGTATAACGCGTTATAAGTACTTAATGGATATTTTAATATGATTAATATGGAATTTATTATAGGTACCTATATTATAGGTCAATTTTTTGTTTAATACCATAGATATGTATATAATATGTCTTATACCTAGACTGACGGTATGTCTCCGCTCAGAATCGTTTTTCTTATACAATGATATTATATCGTTGAATTCAAATTTAATATCATCCATTATACAGTGACCCACTTGTAATCTACTGTACAGCAGAGCGACACCCACTTGCCCACCTTTTTTACCTATACCTATACATATTTATACCAATACGGCAATACCTATATAATTTATATTGCTATTAAAGTAATTTATTTTACTATATTTAATCTTTGCCATAATAATGTAGTTATGTAACATTCATTAATCAATATATAATTTATTATAATACTCAAAGGTGGGCATTAACTAGTTAAAAAGTTAAAGTTAAGTTAAAAAGTTAATTTTTTTTAAACTTTTTAACTTAACTAGTTAGTTTGTTTTCTAATTAACTTATGAACTTAACTAGTTTAATTTATAGTTGAAATAACTTAGCTTTTCTCAGTTGATTTAAAAAAAACCAATAAGTTAAAAACATTTTGAAATTTTTCGTTTATGCGTAAATTTTACTATATCATTATAAAATAAAAATAATCCAATACTATAATAACACAAACATTTCTGTACTTTTTCTTGATAACATAATTTTGTGTATATTATTATATTTTATTTATTAGAAAGGCAATAAGCTATTGTCATTTTATAGTATTAGATGTTTGCAGTACAAATATGAAATAAGTAATTACAATAATTTATTATCAATAAGAAAAAATACAGCTGACCACCAGATTCTGAAAATTGGAAAGAAAATTCTAAAGATAACTTGAAAACTAAATTATCGTTTAAAGTAAATAGTTATAGTTGTGTATAATATATACATGATAATTGATAATATTATGCTGGTCTATACTTGTAGACAATAATACAATATTATGAATTATAAATAGTGCGCTTGCAATGCTTGCATCGACCAGTTCCTTACGTTGTCCGTAATCGTACTTTATCATAATCGTCAATCGTTTACCTATTGTGTGCGATATTTATTTAGTCCATATCGATTATAGGTATTGTTATTATATTATATGGTAGACATTTTATATATCCGAAATTAAAAATGTCATTAAGTACGGTAACGAGTAGTGAAAATACAAGAGATCTTCAATCTTCAAATAGTTTAAAATGGCCGTGCGTTAGTGCTTTTTTTCAACAAATATTTGATTCTGCAACCAATACTCTCAATAATTCTTTAACATTTAAATGTGTGTTATGTGTACCCAGAAGAAAAGTGTCATGTTTTAATTTTATATAACTTATATATATATGAAGGTCATGTACTCGGCTTCACGTATTATGACATTCAATTGCTATTAATTTGAGATGAGTATAGTTTAATTTAATAAATAATAAAAAAGTAAAAGGGTATACACTATACAGTGTACATTATGATAAAAGTTAAATCAAATTGATTTATAATTTATAAATTAGAAACTAGAAAGACACATTCACTCTACATGTGAATTTACTTAATAATTAAAAAAAAAATAGATTAACTTTTTTAAACTGAGTTAAGTTAATTTTTTTTTCTATATTAACTTTTAACTTATCGAGTTAAATTTATAATTTGTTAACTGTTAACTTTTAACTTATCAATCTTGTGTCCTCTTAACTTAACTTAACTCGAGTTAATTATTTTCATTAACTTGCCCACCTTTGAATTAATACTAATATTATATATTATTATTTATTATAGTGTATATTATAATTTATAATACTTAGGTATATCATTAATCAATCAACCATTATACGATTGTTATTAATTTTTGAGTCAGTACCATCCATGGATTTAGATATAGACTAAATAAATCGTGGTACCTATACCATCATATATAACGAAAGAATTTTGCAATTTTTCCTGATTTTTATGAATTTTATAGTTATTAAAATAAACGCAAAAAAAATAAAAAGTTAAAAAAACACATTGCAGAGACGGCACGGTCACGGGCCACAGCGGACCGGCGCGTCGAGAATAACAACGAGTTCGGTTTCAGTATCACGTCTTACCCTTTATTTTCATGAAATATGATTTATATACAAACATGGACAGCGAGGTTCACGGGCGCCGCGGCCGGCCTAAATACTCAGTAAATAGACAATCGTCGCTGTGAGATCTCGGTGCGACCGCTGAAAAGCCTGTTCCATTTACAATATAGCGGGAATGTTTTGGTGATATTGGCGCGTTTCACGACAGCCGCGTGGGCGGAGTGATATATCACAAGCCACAATGTTCTATGTTCATACCCGGTTTTGACACAACTCGTTCAAGTGTTCTGTGGGGGGGGGGGGCGAGAAGAGGTACGTTGACTTCTGATCGAGGGT